GGGGAGAATAATCCCTTATAGTTGTTTCTGTTTTTTCTTCATAAAATGAGGTAAACTAGAAAATGTCATTCATCACATATAATGAAAGTAAGTATCTTGTAACACTAGTTTCACTTCACATACACACAGACACACACACACAAAACTCAAATGCATATTTATATTGGGTTGCAATGGCGTTTCATGCTATAGGTCATAGCTTTAAAAAGGAATCAGAAACCACTGATTTGGAAGGTCTATGTGTTAATTTATATGTAAATGAGTTGTGGGGTATTTTGGTATAAATAAATTTGGGGGAAAAAATATGATCCTGCTATAATTTCAATGAATAAGCCTCAGATATAAAGGCAGAGGAAAGTTAATATTTTAAGATAACAGGAAAATGAACTTCAAACTGAGGGGGGAAATGTTTAGCTAGGGCAGGGCAGGCCTTTGCAAAGCACTTAACACTGCACAACAGAAGCAGCTGTGCCCTCAGTCATAGCTTGTAGTAAAATAAAGATGACGAATATGCCAGGAATCAAGATAACAAATGACAAAGAATACTTACTGCATATCCCAGCAAAGCCAGACAGTAGAGAAGTGTCCCCATCCTAGCTTCCTAATAACATGATACCGGCCATTGAAAAGGTCTCCAATTTTCACTGGATGATAGCCACCTTTTATTTAAAAAAAGAATAGTAATTTCAGAAAAATAGTAACAGAATATCATCTCTTCCTTTGTCAGTTCTTGATACCATTAAAGAAAGCTGCAAATAATAAAATTAGATTAAAATATATTTAATAGTGTAACATTTTTCAAGAATTTTCATCAAAAGAAAAGTGTCCTTTGCCTTTCTACTAAGTTAATTAGAAAGGCAATAAACCACCCAGCACTTCATAACACTTACTTAAGGTTTTATATTTAAGTCTAGGTGTAAATAATATGCACACTAGCTCCTGACATTTCCAAACAACCTTATAAGTTAAACACCAATCTTGTTAGGTCAGTACAATATAACTCACCAAAATAAAGGCTGGGTATCCTGCATAATTCTGCATACACTAACAAGAAGTCCTATATAATAAAAGCCTAATATGCTAAGTGTCTGGTCATTCATTCAACCAATCAAAGCGTAATATGCTAATAATATGCTAAGGTCACTCAACCACTTGCTATGATGTGCACTGACCACCAGGAGACAGACAGTCGACTGGTCCCTATGATGTGAACTGACCATTAGGGGGCAGATGCTCCAACCAAATAGTTAGCTTACTGCTGGCGTCCGGCTGATCAGGACACACCCTGGAACCCTCCCACGCAACCCTCTCTACCCCCCCCCCAACCCCCGCTGGCCAACCTCCCGCATCCCTTCCCAGCCTCGATTGTGCACTAGAGAGAGGCCCAGTGCACAAATTCATACACCAGTGGGGTCCCTTGGCCTGGCCTGCACTCTCTTGCAATCCGGGACCCTTCAGGAAATATCAAAGAGCCGTTTTCGGTCCGATCCCGTAGACCAGGCTAAGGGACCCCACTGGTGCAATTCACCCTCCAACATAGCTTGCTCCTCTCGCCCTTCTTCCTCCAACTTCAAACTCCTGCCTTGAAAATAGGTTAGAGAGGGAGGGAGGCTGTACCATGTTAAGGTAGACTTTTGGGGAGGGAAGGGTCCTTCACGGACATCTGGCATAAAAAGACCTTCACTTTGCATTTGTAAATAAAATAAGGAGGCTACAAAGTAGCATGTATAATACAGCATTTCTGTGAAACAAACAAAAAGTCTAGGAGGAGGATGTAAGCAACAAACAGCTTGATATAAAATTGCTTTCACTCTTTTAACCTATATTTTATTCTCTGTATCTTTTCCAATATTTTTCTGAAACAAACATAATACTTTTCTATTTTATACTCTCTTAGCATTTACCACTTCCTTATTGCAAAGATGCTATTTTCCCTTTTTAAATTTGTTTTCCTTTTTTAAATCTGCAAAATTCTTATAAATCACTAAGACAGAGAAGTACAGAGAACAGACTGACAGCTATCACAGGACAGTCTGGATGAAAACGGTGAAGGGATTATGGAAAAAACCCCACAAAGTAACAAAAAGAAACAAAACAACAACTCATAGACACAGACCACAGTATGGTGGAAAGAGGGGTGGGGATGGAGGGGGATAGAAGAGTGTAAAGGGGGGATAAACGGTTACAGAAGGAAACAAGTTTGGATGGTGAACACACAATACAATATACAGATTGTGTATTATAGAATTGTACATCTGAAACCTATAATTTTATTAACCAATGTCACCCCTATAAATTCAGTAACAAATTTTAAAAAGAAGACATAGATGGTTTGTGCCTGTTTTTGAGCAGCTCAAAGCAGGTGCAGTAAGTACCTAAGCCAATTCTTTTAATCCCTCTGTAACTTCCACAGGGCTAGGAGTAATACTTCAAGAAATACTATGAATATAAATACTTAAACTGTTGAATTAATGAAGCAAAAATTTGAGTAGACACATTTTCTAAGATTCTTACTCTCATACCACTGTACTTGCTTTCCTTCGATTTTAATATCAAAGTCTGTAACAATATTTTGGGTTAAAAAAAAAATGAACTAAAAGATAGTAAATTATAAATGAAAATAGGAAATTATTTAATGGAAGGGTGGGTGTTAACAAAACACACTGTGGTAATCATTTTGCAATATACACACATGTTAAGTCATTAAGCTGTTACACCTTAAACTTGCACAATGTTGTATGTCAATTATCCTATACTAGAGGCCCGGTGCATGAAAATTCATGCACTGGAGGGGGGTCCCTCAGCCAGGCCTGCCCCTCTCACAGTCTGGGAGCCCTCAGGGGTGGGAGGCGACCAGGTGATCTGGGGAAGGTGACGCCCCATCACACCTCTGCTGCTGCCACTGACGGTAGCACAAGCCTCGGCCGGCCTTGGTTACCTGAGCCTCGAGAGGCTCTGGGCGGCTGGGGGGGTGAGGGGACTGGGTGGATCCGGAGGCAGGGCTGAGGGGACTGGGCACCCCCATCTTTGAAGGCGTGGCAGTAAGTTAGCATATTCCCTCCTTATTGGCTGTGGGTGCCGCCATCTTTGCAACCTGCTGCTCAGTCATTTGGTTGTCCCCTCACTAACCTCCCTGCTGGCCTGGTTGCCCCACACAGCCTGTTCGGTCATCCATTCGGTTGTGATGGTCACTTAGGCTTTTATATATATAGATAATAAAAGCATAATATGCTAAGTGTCCGACCAATTGGTTGACTGGTCAACCACTCGACCAGTCTTTATGACGTGCACTGACCACTAGGGGGCAGACGCTCCGACCTGTAGGTTAGCTTGCTGCTGGGGTCTTGGCTGATTGGAACTGGGCAAGAGTGCCAGACACTCCTCAGCCGGCCAGCCCCCAATACCCCAATCGGCCCCGATCGCCAGCCTGGCCGAGGGACCCCACCTGTGCATGAATTCATGCACTGGGCCTCTAGTACAGCCGTGGGCAAACTACGGCCCGCAGGCCGGATCCGGCCCATTTGGCTGTTCTATCCGGCCCACAGAGCCGAAAGAGCGGAGGGTTCTCTTGCTCTCCCCTCCGCTCCTTCACCAGCAGCAGTGTTAACATGTATTAGTTCACACAAACACTCCATCCATGCTTTTGTTCCGGCCCTCCGGTCCAGTTTAAGAACCCATTGTGGCCCTCGAGTCAAAAAGTTTGCCCACCCCTGCTCTAGTATCTCAATAAAACTGAAAGAAAAAATGGCTTACCTCCTTAGAAGGTTAAACTAAAATTAAAATAGGCTCTGAATTTACAGTTTTTAAACCATTAAAATTAATACTAAGAGGGAAGTAAACTATGATTTTCAAGTATGAATTAGGGGCACTCTCCTAGGCACTTTATTCTCAAAGCCAAGTTCAATGAAACTAAAATAGCCCTGGCCGGGGCTCGCTTGCTTGGAACATCATCCCATACACCAAAAGGTTACGGTTCAATTTCCAGGCAGGGCGTGTGGGGGAGGCAACCAATAGTTTTCCTCTCTCACATCAATGTTTTCTCTCCCCATCTCTTTCCATTCCTCTCTCTAAAAATCAATAAAAACATATTGTCAGGTGGAGATTGAAAAAAATAATAAAGAAATTAACTAAAATATGTTGCAGGTATTCCACAGGGGAAGCAGAGGAGGGGAAAGGAAGAAAGGAGAAGTTCTGTTTGGGAAATGAGAAAGAACTTAAAGCAGATTTCTTGACCAAAGTGTTTCTCAGAGCCACTTAACACACAGCAGGAGCCTCTGAGAGGAGAGTGGGCTGCCAATTCCAGACATATCTGCTAATGAACCCATTTCTCCAAAGAACTAGTAATATTTCACAGCACAAAGTACATAGGAAATAATACTTACTTCCTTCTTTTATTTTATTTTCACCCAAGGATATGTCTTTCATCGAGAGAGCGAGAGAGCGAGAGAGAGAGAGAGATCGGCTGCCTCCCATATATGCCCCAACGGGGCATTGAACCCAAAACCTGGGTATGTGTCTTGACTGGCAATTAAACCCACAACACTTTGGTGCAAGGAATGACACACTAATGAGCTACACTGGCCAGTGCAGACGGTGTTATTTTTACACTGATGCAGTAGACACAATCTCAGAGACAGTAAATAATAGTTTAGGGCTGGAAAATGGCTGACTCCTAAGTCCATGGCCTGTTCACCAGTAAGAAATGCACTCCAGCCCTGGCCAAGTGGCTCAGTTAGTGCAAGTCGTCCCATATACCAAATGCAGGTCCCATCCCTGGTCGGTGCACGTACAGGAGGCAGCCAATCGATGTATCAATGTTTCTTTCTTCCTTGGGTGAGGATAAAAAAATAAAAGAAAGAAATGCACTACATATTTAACAACTGGAGGACAGTCTTAGTCCACAAGGAACACTTGATAGCTTAATTAAAAGCCGTTTAATACTTAACTGCATAGTATTGCTAACATTACAGTCTAAATTTAAAAACAAATTTTTAAATTTCTTTATTGATTAAGGTATTACATATGTGTCCTTATCCCCCTATTGCCCCCACGCCCCCCACTCATGAGTGAAAACAATTTAATTAGACATAAAGAAAAGAAACTTCTATCACTATTGTATGTTTCAGATTTGAATTCTAAAAGAGCCACAGTGTGTAGAGGTGAACAAAAATAGAAGAGCACTCTTTTCAATGCAATCACACAAATGCTCCTCAAATGCTCCTTTTCTCAATGGGACTTTGAAAGTTGAACAAAAGAAATTACTTAGTCCAGTTATCTCAGAAGCCCACAAGATAGCTAAGAATATTGTGCCTAAAAATAGGACAACGAAACAAGAGAAACATAAAAATTTTTAAATACAAATATAAAAACAATTCAAAGTGCTAAATACATATCCTTTTATTTTGAAAACTTGACATACAAATTTATATTTTATAATTTTTATATTCAAACTCACATATCACAACAGAAAACAAGTCTCCTCTGACCATTTTTCAATCTCTTTTCACAGAATGGTAACGAACACTCATGCTACCAGGGCAGACCACACAAGTACCCAACACCCCAAAAACCAGAGAAAACAGAAACTCCAATCATGCTCAGAAAATTCTCCAATCCCCTGCGATTAGCAAACAATGTACATCAGAATGACTATTAGCAG